ACAAAGAAAAAACAACCTCCTGACAGCAGCGGTATGCAAAGAAGGATACTCGCATGGTGAAGCAGAGGTACACACCTGCTCTGAAGGTGTGTGCGTGACAGCCTTTGCGTGAGTAGAAACTAACAACCTTCACAGTCATTACACCTGCTTTTATGTTCAAGAATTTTTAAAGAGGTATATGACTGTGGGCAAAACATTTTGTCCTGCTTTTTTCCCACTCCCTATTTCTGTGAAATGGACACAGAAAAAACTAACAGCACACACCTCCAGGCCAGTGTCCAGCTCTGCATTCCAGCTCATCCTGTGCGTCCTGACAAGACCCACCACTGCTTGTGGCCCATTTAGAGCACTACTCTACATTTCCTGTAGTAGCCTGTAAGCGCTTTAATTTTTTAAAGAAGTTAGTAGACTCCCCCAACACAGAATCTTCCCACTGACTCATATTTGTGCTTCACTCTCTTCCTTCTCTGCTCCCAAACTCTTTTCTACAAATTAACCAAAAAAAAAAAAAAAAAAAAATTACTTTCAGCTTCAATTTTTCTTTTCTTTGAACTGCTCTTTATCTCGCAGGAGCAGCTACTTGTCAGGTTTAATATAAAGAAATCAAAGCTTGGCTGTTGAGAAGACAAATTTCTAAATCCTTGATGTGAGTTTAAAAATTGGAAGTGCAATTTCAGTGAAATTAACAGTGGCACTGTCTCCACTTGTGAAAGCTGCTCAACTGTTGTGATCTGACACACACTCCTGCAGCCTGCATTCACTGAAAATGCAGCTGACAATCACCTGAGGCAATGCACAGACAATCACAGACATTCATCTTTAATCAGGTTAAGTTTCATTCATCACACTCAATGCACACACCTAAAAACACAACAAAGTTTGTACGGTGTGGATCAGAATCATTTAAGGGGCTGAATACAGTAGCGGGAGTTTATTTAGAAATAGTGCTTTACTGTAGATTTCATCTCTATTCACATTCATCACTGCAATAACATTAGTCTGTACTGCCAGGTAGCCTCACCCTCAGTTTATTCATAGGCTTTCCATGACACTTCTGAAAGATGAGTTTCTTTTTTAAGTTCTGGCCCACAAGAACAACAGGATGTTACCTGGCGTGCAAATACACTCTCTGCAGTCAGCATCAGAACCACATAGACAGAAGGCTATTTTATTGTTGTTGACATTGATAGTGTGCTATATTGTTTCAGCTGAAATATGACATATGCACTAATGGGAGAATCAAAGTTTTCAGTCTGCAGTAATCATAATCATAACCCAGGTTCTCTGAGCTAGGATGATTGCATCTCTGATATTAGACATACTAGACTGGGGTTTGTTTCCCATTAAAGGATTCTCAAAATGTTCACAAAAATCTCACTAAAGTTGTATATGTATATATTTGTATTTTTACCATGAAAATATGAAACAGTTCACAAAGTGAAGCCACTCAAAATAAACAGTCATATTTAATCCTTAGCCCCAGACAACCCAGGTCCTTTCTGTGCACAGTTTGCAGGCTCTCCCTGTGTCTTCCTGGGTTCTCTCCGGGTACTCCGGAGTGTGGGTGTGTGTGGTGTAGTTGTCTGTAGATTGAAGGTTATAATTTTCTCACTTATAAAAAATATTCTTAATTTTGTTAAAATGAATCCTTGCACCTTCACCAATCATCCAAAGCTCCACTTTGGGACCACATGCGTGAGAGAAAGTATGGCCTTGTTTTATCTCATTTCCCGTTTTTGTAACTTGTTGGGTTGTGGCCTGGGGAGTTTCTCAGTCCGACCCCACTGTGTCAGATTGCATGACTCCTGAGTCCCAAGATTCTTATATTTACAGAAGCTATTGCAGCAAATACGTGCACCTTCGTGCCCGGTGGGTGGGTAGGTGTGTGTTATGCAAGTTTAAGACCCTTGTGTCTTTTCCAGAGGCGGCTGCCTTCGCGTGACTTGACCAAGAAGATTTAGAATTGTCCTGAAGACCGAAACCCTCCCCTTTGAACGGCAGCTCCGCTTCTCACGCAAACTGCAGCACCGGAGGCGCAGCGCAGAGGCGCACGGCGCGAGTCACTTAGTCAACACACAATCAGGAGGATCAGAGGAGCGCTGAGCCACGCACTTTACTCATAGTAAATTAACTACTAATACTATTCTGCCTAGTGTTTCCCTGTCCGATTTTTTCTTTTATTTCAGAATTAGTTTGACTTCATTTTGTTGCACACTGTTGAACTGTGGTAAACCACAATACAGTGACGATATGTAACCACAAATATAACTTGCTGTTCTTAGTTGATCTAATTGCTCCTCCAGTGACACATCCTAAAGGCTAGAAGAATATATGAAAGAAATCTGTTGATGTTAATCAGGTTCCTCTGCTTATTTGCTCACCTCTGGCGATGTCACAACATAACTCCAGTTAAAGCTGTGAGGCAATTTTCTTTTGCCAGTTTTGCTCGAATTGTCGGAAATATCGGAATAACTCTGGTTCGGTATTGACATAATTAAAATACACGATTCAATGAAAATAACAATTAGAAACACAACCTCATAGCACCTGATTTAATATTTTAAAGTGCAAATCAAAATTAAGAACGTTTTCCATACACTATCATCATTGAAATGACCGACATGCAATAACGTGGGCTATGATTTATATATACATTATTTTTGCTGTTATGACTTATTGGACATATGTAAAACAGCTTTCATGTTGTAAAGAATATTAAAAGATATGTCCTTTATTTATAGGGTGATTCACTTTTCTAGATACTGAGTGATAGGGAATGACTTCATATAGTTTTTTTCTCACAGTGATGTTTATAGTGGCAGCAAGTTACAGCAGCTGTGTCCTCGTTGTGTTCTTTCCCGTGTTTCTATGAAGTTCTGTTCTTATGGTGTTATGTTGGTTGTTCTCTATTGCTGCTGTAACACAGAAATTTCCCCACTGTGGGATCAATAAAGTACCTACCTACCTACCTACCTACCTACAAACCATACTTGATTTGTTCTTGCATTGTCATATGGCTGTGAACGTATCAAAAATTCTGAATTCACAAAACAGCCGTGTAACGGATGGTATGTCAAGATCCAGTTAAAACAAGCAAACAAACCCAAAGTCACCTTAAGCTGTAGATCCAGAACCTTCAGTGGTTTCTTCAATATTCAACTAAATAAGCATGACTGATGAGTGTGTACAAATCTAAATCTAAATGAAGCCATTCCTCTAACAGACAAGTAAAAATAATAAGAAAGTTTTCCACCTATTGCCTCTATAAAATTGACTTTTGCTGATAAAGTAGGCTTTACCATTAAGTGTAAATCATTTGTTGACAAGTTAATTAATAAACTTGTGCGTCTGGGAGGTTTACATGTAAAACTAACGTATAAACAGACACCAAAAGAAAAGCAATGCAGATTAGAGAAGCAACTGAAATTACAACACGCTGCTCTGTAAAAGTTAGGGACCATATTTTCACCACCGTGGCCGTCAGCAAAAACAAATGGCCTGTAGTGCACATCTGGCTTATTTTCTCCATCGCTCTGATTTTGGGAGGCCGACAACACAAGACAATGGTTTGACAAATGTGAAATTAGGAGTTCTAAGGTTTCAAAAATCAATCATGTTTTCATCATTAAAAATGATTTTAAAGTGTCTTTTTCTTTTTGTAATTTAATGATATGCCGATTTTTCACATTAAAGGCTAAATACCGAAAACTTGTTGTCCAAGATGTTTTATGTACCTAATGAAGTTATTACTTTGTTGTTGTTAAAGCCCAAAGCCAACTTTAAACGTGTTGCAGAACTTTGCTGTAAACTCACAGAATGTTCTCTGGGTAAAAAGGGGGATGAACTCGTCTGCCCTTGCGCTTTCCAGCAGTGCTGCCCGATTGCCCCCACCCCCAGCATCCTCGTCAAAGGGGAGGTGAGGGTTTGATCACTGCATTCTCACGCAACTGGTCAATCTTTAACTCCAGCTATAGAACTAACAGGTACAAGCACGCAATGGCATTTGACTGTTTTATCAGGACTTAAATCTGCCTGGGTGGTTGCTGAGGCGGTTGTCACAAAGTACTAATCTCACCCAAACCTTGATTTTGTTGCTTACAGGCATACAGGACTGACTTTAAAACTGTCCTTATAGAGTATTGCCTTTTAGCATTTTGCCTTAATTCTAGAAAGTTTTTTAATATTTAGTTTTCTGCTAATAATGTAGGGCTGATATAATTATTTTTCGTATAAAAACCAAAGCCTTGACCTTCTCGGTCTTTACCAATAAAACCAGACTGACATAAGTCAGTTATTACCTAATCAGCGAATAAAATGAACCATACAACTACTTAGTTGTCAGGAATTCGCCCTAATCAATATGCAGGGAAGCAATTTGCAATACATGTCATTGATAGCCAACCGGATTTGGTTATTTAATCAGAGAAAAGTTTCATATAATAAGGTTTTTGCATCAGTAAACGCAGCGTTTACAAAGATGTGATGAAAGCTGATGACTTATACAACCAGCGAATTTCTAATTAAAATTCTAATATAGCCTATGTTACATATTATTTTGTAGATGATACATAAAAATAGAAGCCAAAAGCAATATTGCACGTCGAAATCCCTTTAAAACAAGCTGCAGAATAATAGGTGATATTAAACTGAATACTGTTTTCACAGATGGGAAAGTGTATTGTAATGGCGGAAATAATACTTGATGGCTGTTATGTCTTATTTGACCATAAAGTATGAAACATAAATTTAGGCTATGAAGTCCTATGACTTTAAATCTTCATTTCAGCTGTAAATTCTACGAATTCTATAATGACGTTTGGTTTCAAATCCACCGAGGGGGGGAGAGAGAGAGAGAGAGAGAGAGAGAGAGAGAGAGAGAGAGAGAGAGAGAGAGAGAGAGAGAGAGAGATTACGTCATGAACAGCAGCCAATGAAGCTGTGGAGGGCTCTATATAGCAAGAACCCATTCTCTGTTTTAGGGACTTTAAGAAGGTAAACTTCCAGAATAACCCAGCTGAACGACATTTTAACTATCTTATAAAGTATTTCTGGGATCACACCACTGTTCTACATTACCATTTCTCTAAGGTAAGCTCTATGCATATGAGGTAGACTGATTTATCCTATAACTGAGTAGGCAATGTCAAAGATAAGAGCAACAAGCTGAGTGGGAATTATTTTACAAGAATAACATTCATATGTGTTTGGTCTTTGCAGTTGCAATGTATGCTTATTGTTTTTAATTGTTTTTATTCACGGGCTTTGAGTTCCCTTTGCATAGACATCACCTGTGAAAAGCTTTGTGGGGCAAAATATAGAGTCAGATTTATAAAGTTAACAATTTAATATGACAGTCTTCTGTTACTTTAAGCTTTATGGTGCATGCAGCCAATATGTTACACAACACTTCTGCTACTCTCTGGCTTCACTGCTGTAATGCCCCTCCTATTTAATTTCCAGGTTGAGGTGAAAAAAAAAAAAACAGAGCTGTCATCATGGCGCTAATGATATTGCCACTCATTGGATCAGTGTCAGTATCAGAGAGTTTGGTGGCCTTGACAGCAGTGTGTCTGGTCTACCTGATTCTCAAGGTTTTCCAAACTAAGATTCCTGAAGGACTTCGTCAACTCCCTGGACCAAAGCCCTTGCCTATCATTGGGAATGTGCTGGAGGTGGGCAACAAACCTTATCTGAGTCTCACTGCTATGAGAAAGCGCTACGGTAATGTCTTCCAGATCCAGATTGGCATGCGTCCTGTGGTCGTACTGAGTGGCTATGAAACAGTTCGACAGGCCCTCATCAAGCAAGGGGATGATTTCGCAGGCAGACCTGACCTGCACAGTTTCCGGTACATCAGTGATGGCAAAAGTCTGGCTTTCAGTACAGATGAAGCCGGTGTATGGCGTGCTCGCAGAAAGCTGGCCTACAGTGCCCTGCGCTCCTTTTCCACCCTGGAGGGCACAACCCCAGAATACTCCTGTGTTCTGGAGGAGCACATCTGCAAAGAGGGAGAGTATCTAGTCAAACAGCTCAACACTGTCATGAAGGTTGATGGCAGCTTTGACCCCTTCCGCCACATAGTTGTCTCTGTGGCAAACGTCATCTGTGGAATGTGCTTTGGTCGACGCTATGACCACAATGACCAGGAGCTGCTTAACTTGGTGAATGTCAGTGATGAGTTCAACCAGGTAGTGGGAAGTGGCAACCCTGCAGACTTCATCCCTCTTCTTCAATTCCTTCCCAACCCAACCATGAAGAAATTTGTGAGCATCAATGATCGCTTCAACAAGTTTGTGCAAAAGATTGTCAGCGAGCACTATTCCACCTTTGACAAGGTACTCTACACATTTATTCTGCTTGAGTGACACTGTTTTCCTTTTTAGTCAGTGTGTATTTAAATATTACAGAGATTGCCCAATAATCTTCTTTCAGGATAACATTCGTGACATCACAGATGCCCTCATTGATCACTGTGAGGACAGGAAACTGGATGAGAACTCAAATGTCCAGGTGTCAGATGAGAAGATTGTATCAATTGTGAATGACCTGTTTGGAGCTGGTATGTTGAATTTCTCTCCTTGTTGAATGATCTGATCATTAGTCACCTCTGCATGAATGAAAAAAAGAACATGTCCTCACAGAGTTTCTCTTTAAGGTTTTGACACTGTCAGCACTGCCCTGTCATGGTCAGTAATGTATTTGGTGGCTTACCCAGAAATACAAGAGAGGCTTTATCAAGAATTGAGTAAGTACAACCGTTTTACACAAGATACTTTGTTGGATGTTTCATTCTCTTGCAAGACAGTAAAAGTTCATCCTGAATTAATAATCACTGGACTCCTCATTTTTCAGAGGTGAAAGTGGGTCTGGATTGCACTCCTCGTCTCTCTGATAGACCCAACTTACCTTTCCTGGAGGCCTTCATCCTGGAGATCTTTCGGCACTCTTCGTTCCTGCCATTCACTATCCCACACTGGTGAGGTTAATTTTTTGTAAGTTCAAGACTGCATCATAGGTGCATGCGGAAATGAGGTGTTAATTATATACTAAGCATCACAGAAGCACAAAAATACATACATAAAAATATGGTTGTCACTAGCATACAAATTTATGTGCTATATTAGCCTGTAAATACACAGTGGACTAACACTTTGTTCTTTTTCAGCACCACAAAAAACACATCTCTGAATGGCTACTTCATTCCCAAAGACACCTGTGTCTTCATCAATCAGTGGCAGGTCAACCATGATCCGTAAGTTCTTTTTAAAAATCTTTAATAAAACCAATAAAGTTTATTGACTCAACAGTCACACTTCTGAGCTGCCCAGTTCAACTGGTAGTGAGGGCTCTGCTAGATTAGAGGAAGGTTATAAGGTATGCCTTGTACTGGGGCAAACTGTTGGTAATTGTAAAGAAAGACAACAACAGCCTTAATTAATTTCCCACATTAAAATCTTCCTGGTTGACTCAAAAGACTATACCACTAATTTATATATTGCTGTGATAACCGGGGCATTTTAACATCTTATTTATTCATTGTACTTTTCAGTGAGCTGTGGAAAGATCCATCTTCCTTCAACCCAGACCGTTTCCTGAGCACTGATGGCAATGAGGTCAACAGGCTAGAAGGGGAGAAGGTGCTGGCTTTTGGTTTGGGCAAGAGGCGTTGCATCGGCGAGGTCATTGCACGAAATGAAGTCTTCCTCTTCTTGGCAGTCATTGTCCAGAAGATGCAATTCCATGCTATACCCGGAGAGCCACTGAACATGACACCAGAATATGGTCTCACAATGAAGCACAGACGCTGCCACCTGAGAGCCACAATGCGAGCGAGGATTGAGCAGTGAAGCTAATAATGTATTTGTGTGCAATGTATGACTCAACAGGTGGTAGAAGTGGACTCTAACACTGTAAGGTTAAGAGTCAGTGAAAGCATCTTTCTCAAAATGTAAGGAACTGAATGCTGAACTGTTTATACAAGGCTAATAGCATTGAAGCAAATAAGCAGAATTTGCATGCTGCAGATCATCTGAGATGTCTAGGTTTGTGTGAACATATCTCTGTCCTGTTTTAGGTTTACTAAGAGATATTCCTGCACATGGTTGCTGCTTCTTACTGAAGTATAAGGAGATGCCTGGTTCTCCTGTTACATTAAAATACTAATCTGCTCCTATTCAGAACTTGTAAAACAAACAGAAACTAAGTTGACCTGATCAGCTTTTGGACAAACAATATGTTTTACTGGATAAACATAACTATTTCAAGCCACTGCAATCTCTGTTTTTCTGTAACACAGGACTCTGAATTGAACAGATATAAATAATGATAGCTACAATTTTTTCTTATAAGCTAATATTTGTATTCTATGGTAATGTAGATGTAAGACACTGAAGCTATATCTGTATCCCAAAATGTGATTTTGTGTAGGCTATGAATCAGGTTCTTTGTATTTTTTAAAGTAATTTGTATGTGCCTGGTATTTACATATATCTGAGGTCATATAGTTTTGCTGTGATTTCTGGAATGTATTAGTAGGTTATACAGTGTTCTATTTCTTCAAGTTCAAATAAAATAAAAGCCAATGATCATCTTGCTCATTTGCCTGTTTGATCTACAAGAAAACGAACTTAGCACTGAGCAATACATTGATGGTTATCATATAATCATATAGGGTTGGCTACAGTCACTGATTTGCAAAGAGGTAGATCTAAGTCAGAATATATCACAATATTGAGCGCTCACATGAACTGATATAAATTTCAGAGAGCGAGCGAGCGAGAGAGAGAGAGAGAGAGAGAGAGAGAATCACAACAAACCCACGTGTGAGGTGAAGGAGGTGATGTCATGTGCCAACCCGGAATACGGTACAGCTGGAGCTATGGATTTCCTTCATACCTCTCTAGAGATTTATCGATAAGGTTCATTTATCTGTTATCGACTTAATGTGCTCAGGTTGACTATTCACACAATTAATAACCACTCTTTATAAGTTTACAACAGGTCGCCTATATGAAAGAGAAACAGTGCGGACCGAAGCTAGTGTTAATGTTGTCTGTGAAATTAGCTAACCGCTTACTGCTAGAATATCTTAATGTTATGATTTTATTTTTTATTTACGGCAACTTCGTTTCCAAGATTTTCCAGCTCTCCCTCATACAAGTTATCGCAGAACACCAAAACACATTAGTTGTAGTAATAGCTAATATTTCCACAAAGCTCCGTGCCTGCTGGAGCATAATGTAAGGGAAGACATTGTAAGCAAAGGGACCAGTTTTTAGTTAACTGACCACCCGACAACAACTAGATGTTGTCATAATTATCCTAATTAAATTTAAGTTTAACATATCTGATGGACACCTGCCAGTGGTTTTAGGAAATATCCGGACAATAATATTCCCTTTTGCATTCTTTACGGCTGTGTAGATTAAATTTTAAATGCATCACGTTTCTAATTTTCCTCATCACTCTATACTCAGTAGCCCATAATGACAAAGTGAAAACAGGTTTTTAGATTTAAAAAAAATTGTTTTAAATCTTTATAAACTCTCAATTCAGTACTTTGGAGAAACCCATTCGGCAGCAATTACTGCTTCCAGTCTTCTTCGGTAGTTTCTTCAAACTTTGCACATTTGGATAGTTTATCCCATTAATCTCAGCAGATCCTGTCAGGCTCTGTCAGATTGGATGGGAAGCTTCTATGAATTACCATCCTCAGGTCTTGTCAGCAGATGTTCTCTAGGATGTAAGTATAGCCTTTGGCTGGACCACTTGAGGAGAGTCAGAGAGCTGTCCTGAAACCACTCCAGTGTTGTCTCAGACCACTGTGTTCCTTGGAATACACAAAACTTTAGAAATGCTTTTATACAGTCTTATGCAAAAGTTTAGGCACCCCTTGATAAATAACAGATTTTGGTGATTTTTTATTTGAACAGATGTTAACACAGTTTCTCTTGGAAATGGAAAAAATGCACAATATTTTCAGCAAACAGTGATGCATAGTTACTTCTTATGCCATAAATTGAACAAAAATAAAAAATAAAAACATTATTATGGCATGGTGCAAAAGTTTGGGCACCCTACACAATCAGTACTTAGTAACACCTCCTCTGGCAGATATCACAGCTTGCAAACGCTTTTCATAGCCAGCTAAAAGTCTTTCAATTCTTGTACTTGGGATCTTCTCCCATTCTTCCTTGCAAAAGGCTTCTAGTTCTGTAATATTCTTTGGTCGTCTTGCATGCACAGCTCTTTTAAGATCTACCCACAAATTTTCAATGATGTTTAAATCAGGGGACTGTGATGGCCATTCCAAAACCTTCAGCCTGCGTCTCTTGAGGTATTCCATAGTGGATTTCGAGGTATGTTTAGGATCATTGTCCTGTTGTAGAAGCCATCCTCTTTTCAGCTTCAGCTTTTTTACAGATGGTGTGATGTTTGCTTCCAGAATTTGCTGGTATTTAGTGGAATCCATTCTTCCCTCCACCCGTGCAATGTTTCCTGTGCCACTGGCTGCAACACAACCCCAGAGCATGATAGATCCACCCCCATGCTTAATAGTTGGCAAGGTGTTCTTTTCATGAAATGCTGCTCCTTTTTTTCTCCAAACATGCCTTTGCTGATTGTGTCCAAAGAGTTCTATTTTAACTTCATCAGTCCACAGCACTTGTTTCCAAAACGCATCGGGCTTCTGTAGATGTCCTGTTGCATACTTCAGACGTTGGATTTTATGATGGGGACGCAGATAAGGTTTTCTTCTGCTGACTCTTCCATGAAGGCCTTGTCTGTGCAAGCATCGCTGCACAGTGGAACGGTGCACCACCACTCCTGAGTCTGCTAAATCTTCCTGCAGGTTTTTTGCAGTCAAATGGGGGTTTTGATTTGTCTTTCTGACCAGCATACGAGCAGTTCTGTCCGAGAGTTTTCTTGGTCTTCCAGATCTCATCTTGACCTCCACAGTTCCCCTGATCTGCCATCTCTTATTTACATTTCTTACTGTGGAAACTGCAAGCTGACAACGCTTTGCTATCTTCTTGTAGCCTTCTCCTGCATTGTGGGCGTCAATAACTTTCATTTTCAGGGTCTTACACAGCTGCTTAGAGGAACCCATGGTTGCTGGGTGTCCACAAGTGTGTGCACAAGGTTTGAAGAGTCAAAGTATTTGTACAGCTTTGAAATTGGCATTTACCAATGACAGCTGTTGCTGTGCATCAGATCTAACGAGCTGATTAAGGTCTGATACCTTGTGAGAGACTTTGAGACTCTGGAACTCTTAGGGTGCCCAAACTTTTGCACCATGCCATAATAATGTTTTTATTTTTTATTTTTGTTCAATTTATGGCATAAGAAGTAACTATGCATCACTGTTTGCTGAAAATATTGTGCATTTTTTCCATTTCCAAGAGAAACTGTGTTAACATCTGTTCAAATAAAAAAATCACCAAAATCTGTTATTTATCAAGGGGTGCCTAAACTTTTGCATAAGACTGTACCTTTGGCCTTATCTGATTCTCACAGTTTTATCACAGAGATCTACAGAAAGTTCCTTGGATGCCATGGCTTGGTTTTTCTACTGACATGGAGTGTGAACTGTGGGGCCTTATATATGCAGCTGTGTATGTATTATGGGTTATTTCCTGTAGATTGATTGGTAAAACTATTACAAATTGTATTATTATCTAAAAATAAAGCCCAAAGAAGTGAAGGAGTCCTTGTGGCCCCTTTTTGAGTAACATTAACTCACAAATGCTTCATGCTTATGAGAACAGCATGGACCTGTTAATAACAATCACATGCTGTACTGTAATGTTAATGGACAGAGTGTAACATGTCTTTGATCATAGTGTACTTGGTAAGACATTTGCCTTAGTAACAATAACCTAGCAGATTATTCATTGAAGTTAGGTTTAAGTCCCCATAGCTGGGAGGCCAGATAATCAGGGGTGAAATCAGGGCCACCACATCTTTTAAATTTTTGACAGCTTCCCAAAAATAACTTTGAAAAACACTTGCTTGACTCCTTTAATTATTTGGCTAAAAATAGTCACATTTTAATATATTGAGTTTCAGTTTGAATTAGCATGTGCATATTTTAAAACTGGAGGCTACTCACAGGTCGCTAAAACAAGTGATACGTTCATTGTCCTCAATGGTAGCTATGACCCCAGCTGATATAAGTAATTGTTTTAACTGGTATATGTTGACTGTAATTTCTCTTGTTTGTATTTTTAAACCCTGGCATCACAGTGAGCAGAATGACCACAGACTGGTTGAATAGTGTTGTTGTTATAAACTGTAGGCTGACATTGGGGGTTTATCAGGGAGAGGTGTTGTTGGTCATGCCAGCCAGACCTCACTCACAGTGGGGTTAAGTGTCCTGTTCCTGAGGTCACATTCAAGTAAGAAAGGAGAAAGATGCTGCCAAATTTTTTATTCTATTAAATGTTCAAGGCCCCACAGACAGTCAAATGTGTATGTTTCCCTCTTCTCCAACAGTTGTTATTATTACTTTTTAAAAGTCTGCACAAAGCCATGATTTTGGATTTCTAATTAACCCCTGTCTAAGAGAGATTTTCTGGTCCCAAAACTCATAGGTCTCAAGTAACACTTGGTGGAAAGTTGGATCCATGTGGCCATACAGAAATTTTCAAAGCTACAGTTGTTATGTCTGCTCTCCTGTCGCTAGGAGAGATAGCGGAGAATGACTGAACCCAAACAGCAGGGAGTGACTCAGAACAGAGTTTTACAATACAGGGGTATGATATAATAGTGAGGAGAGTTTCATTGGCTCGGTCGGCAGAGTAGCCAGGCGAGAGAGAGCGTCGGAGCCAGGAAAACGATCAGGGACGAGAGCTCATTTCTGGGGCAGGAGGACTGGAGGTGGCAGAGGCAGGGCAGTCAGCTTTATGCCTGTGGATAGATGAAGACACAGAGGAAGAGAGTTAACAAAGTTGGTCAGGTCTCAGAGGAGCAAGGGAGAAAGCTCCAAGGTGTAACACAGTGGAGACAGGCTGGAGCTGGCAACGGTGGTAGAGAGCTGGCAAGAAGGAGATGGTGCAGTAGAGCCGCTGATGAAGGCTAGTGCAGTAGCGTGCGTAATGCGGTAGGTGAAGAGTGAAGCAAACAGATCTGGTAGAGTTCTTTCTTGAGGAGCTGATCCTCATCTAGCAGATGAAACGTACTGGCACTGCAGTGGTGTCTGACCGGGTCCTAAGTAGTGCAGCTCTAATCAGTGGGATTAGCCACAGCTGGGAGGCATACCTCTCTCCAGGACCTGGAGAGAGAGAGCAGGAGAGGGCGAGAGATTGAACAAGGACCAGGAGAGACAGGGAGCAGCAAGCAAACCTGGCAGATATGGGACCAAGGGTGGCTGGGAATAGGCAGACGGTGGAGGAGACTGGCTGGTTGCTGATGGGCTGGTTTGGAATGGGCACATATGGGCAGGCCTGGACCTACTCTCGTGTGTCTTGGTCTATTGTGGGCCACCAGAAGTGCCGTTTGAGCAAGGAGGAGGTTCGGTGAATGCCCAGGTAGCAACTGAATTTAGAAGAGTGTGCCCAGTGTAACACTTGGGATTG